GTGCTGCACAATATTTTTGTGGAAACTGTGATGCATTTTATTTTTAAGGATTCACAGATGAACAGAAAGTTCAGAAGAACAGCATTTATTTGAAATAGAAATATTTTGTCACATTATAAATGTCTTTACTCTCACTTTTGAGCAATTTAATACATCCTTGATGCAAAAAAGTTATGATTTCTTTCCAAAAAAAAAAAAATCAAAATTTTTAAGATTAGAGTTGATCTTCATTTAAATCGATGAATATATTAACCTGGCTGATAAACGCTGGTGTATTTCTGCTTTTGTTCATCTCTGATGCATGTATTATTGATGATGTTCTCATTCAGTCATGCTGCTGTTAGCTGCTCTGATGGTAATAATCATGTTCTCCTGCCGCTGGTTCCTCATTAATGGCTCATTAAGTATGCTAATACATCGCACAGGTTGGCACAGCTTGGAAAAAGGGTGTTGTGCTTTCAGTGTTCTTCACAGAAAAAGTGCTGTCATTGTGTCAGTGTGGAGCGAGAGAGGAACAGCATTCAGTCGCTCCACACTGACACAATGACAACACTTGTGCCATATTGTGAAATGAGCCGAGCGGTGAGAGAAACCGACGAGCCCCACCAGAACGACTGCGATGCATTAGCATACTTAATGAGCCATTAATGAGGAACCTCCATCCAGAGAATCTGGTATTTCTGGTAAGAACTGCTTTTCTACATTTTTAGCATGTGTTTTTTTTTATGAATTTCACAAATAATTACAAAGAAACAGCAAGTAACATTGACTTAAACGTGAAATTCCGAAGCTGAAAAACCGAACTAGTATTGTCTTGTAAAACTGGTTCCAGTAATCTTTGGGTCAAAGATTAAAAGCAGTTTTCAAGCATCAGAACAATAAAGGTTTAATACAGCTTTAAAATGTTGAGCTTTAAAACATCCCATACATTAGAACGTGTCCTGTGTAGTCTTATTTTTTCTGAGCAAAAACTAATGACTATCAGACATTTTTACCATGATTTTCAGAAGACACTCGCAAAAATGTAATTCAGTGTAACTATAGTTAATTTACCCAAAACATCTTGTCAGACATATTTAGAACCAGAAGGATCACAGTGCAGCACCAAAATATTAATTCATCGTCATTATAAATCTTTATTAAACCACTAGGTTTTACCCATTTGTCAGCAAGATGTTTTTAATCATTTAAAATATCATAAAAATAAAAAAAAAGTACAGGTCAGAATAAGTATATTGTTTCATTTTGCTTAAATATATCTGATACTCTGAAATATTTCACCCATATTTTGACCTTTTATTTTCACAAAAGTTACTTGAAGCATTAAAGTAGTAACATTTAATATGCTTTATATGTGTATATAAAATCACTTCTGTAAGTTTAATTTGATGCAGACCCTAAAACGGGACGCCTCGTCTTTGACCCCTTATTATTTAGCGCTTCAGTAGAATAGTTCAGAGTTAATATGTGCCATTTATCATCTATCTGATCTAGGGCTGCACGATATATCGTTTCAGCATCGATATCGCGATGTGCGCATCTGCGATAGTCACACCGCAGGATGTGTGATGTTTAGTATAGGCTACTGATCATTATATTTATACTGATCGTTTTCTTTGCTCACACACAGACGCGGTGTCTACACTGGACGCGACCGCTGTACAGAAATACGCATTTAAATACATTTAGTAGCAGAGCTACTGCACGCGATTTTCAGTGCTGGAAATCCATTTATCCTTTGTTGAAACTTCCACGTCGTCGTGGAGAGCGCAGGTCACGGCAACTTAGCGACGGCAGGCGCCACGAAAGCGCAAGTTCCCGAATGTGTTTTTGAAAGAAGGAGAGAACGGCGCGGCTGGCGTTTTCCACGCGTTTTTAGGTGCGACATGTGAATGGCCCCAAAGTCTGTCTACACTGGACGCGACAAATCGACTGATCATCCCAGACGTGCTGTGTGTCTCGCAGGCTGCTGCTGATGATGGGTGTGCTCTTCTGCTGCGGCGCAGGCTTCTTCATTCGCCGGAGGATGTATCTGTCTGCGCTCAGCGAGGAGCCCGCATTCAACGTGTCCTTCACCAGACAACCGGTCAGCTCGCCAGGTGAGCGCTCACTCGCACTGAGATCTGGACACAGACATCGCTGAAGCTTGCAGGCCTGATCCAGAATTTTTTTTTTTCCCAGAAGATTTGACTGATTCAAGATAACAATTTTGATTTATTAAAACGAAGTAGTCAGCTTAATGTAAATACAGCATGATTCAAGTAACATTCTCCTTATTAAAAACGTACAAAACAATCTGGTTAAAGAAAGTTCTGTCCCGAGTGCAGCTCACATGAAGAGATCAAATGACATGTTAAATATGTTTGCAGAAAAGATGCATGAAATATGAAATGTTATACAAACTTGTCTTAATCATATACGTTCATAAATAATATAAAATAAGAAAAATGATAAATATTTCTTAGTCAAAATGTAGACACTTACCGTAGTTTTAGGGATCAACTCAAAAAGTCAAATCAAAATGTATGGTGTTTTTCAGCACAAACGCATTCTGTGTGAACATCAGCGCTAGCAATATATCTCTTTATAGCGTGGAATAAATCATGGCAAAACATTACACATTATAAAATAATAAATTCAGGGGAAAAAAAAACTCACTTTGCATCTTGTACCGAAAACCACTGAGTGTCTTACCTAGACTGGGATTGCATTTTCGGCAGATCTTGTGCCTTTATTTATAGAACATTCAAGGAAAGAGAGATGAAACTGTATCGGGACATACTCCTGTCCTCACTGAACCACTGCTTCAGATAGCATCGCAGCTCATTTTACTGCCATAATGTGACATCTTAATGAAGTGCAACACTACTTTATTGATTTATTATTATGTCCAATAGGAAAGGGTTGCATTGTGGAAAGTGGGTGTTAGATTCTAGAGTTTGCGATCGATTTCTCTCTTGAAACAGCAGGCAGATGTTTGTTAAACTTGAGCAGGAGAAATAGAAAGTCATTTCTGAGGAGAAGCAGCTTCTTACATTACAGATGAAAGACTACATTTCTTTCTTTCTTTAAACGTGAACTGATCGATCATACACAATAAGAACAGCAACTTCTATTAAGGAAGTGAATAAGGTAGATATTGACTTCGTAGGCTAGACAGTGACGTTAAGCAACAACCTTCCTTGAAAATACTATTTTTATACACATTACTGTTCAGAAGCTTGGGGTTGATAAGATGTTTCTTCTGTTCACTAAAGCTGCATTTATTTGATCAGAAATACAGTAAAAACAGTGAAATATTATTACAGTGTAATGATCACTTTAATGCACACTTGATGAATAGAAGTATTAAATTCTTAAAAAGAAAAAAAAAACTCACTGACCCAACTTTTGAATGGTAATGTAAGCTAGAAAGCTGACTGTGGTGTATTTTGAGCCTCTGTGAGTGTTTTTGAGTCATTAAGTCTAATTGCTGCACATGTGGAGTGTTGGAGACGAGACTCTGGTGAGCTCAGGTTGTTGTTTTGGGAAACGGTGACAGGTCACAGCTCTTCCTGGTTATGATTGTGCTGCTGCTATAAAACATCTCACAGTTTAGCTGGCTTGGAAACACAGAGAGCGAATTCTTCCTCACTATTAGGCTCGGTAACAGGCCGTTATTATTATTCGGCTCTCGCTCGGAGCCAAGGTTGGCACTTCACCACAGACTTGATTTATTTCCCATCTCTGTGCCAAACCAGCAGAAAACTGCTAAATGAGCCATTCTGGTGTGTGAGCAGATCCGTCGCCAACAGCGCTCTGCTGTTCTCAATAGACGCAGTAAACACTGTTTCCGGAAACCTATTATGTAATCTGGTGCATTATTAGCTGCTCGATGTTTCCATGCGTTCGATGCATTCGTCACACTCCATCATATCAAGTGTTGCTTCGGTTGGCAGCAAAATAAGGCTGTAATGTGGATCTTTAAAGGAATATTCAGAGTTGTGCTGCATCTGTGCATGTTAACAGATAATCATTTCAGCTCATCTCTCAGTTTGCTAAACCAGCTTACAGTAATGCACGGAGGAGACCAACGCCACGGGGTCAAAAGCAGAAATACCAGACTCATATTTGTTACTTGAGCTGTGATGTTGCGTGGATTTGGTCTGTTTTTTGTCAGCTCAGTGTAAATGGCGCTTTAATGTCATATCACATGTTCCGGTCTCTTCCTTGCATGGAGAACAAGTGAAAGTAACCAGGCTTTAGCTGGTTAATACTCGAGTTGAAAGCTGTGATAATAGAGTGCTGATAAATGATTCTGTCACACTAGTTTCATGCATTAATAGTATGGTCATAATTTCAAAACAATGGAATAGTTGCACATTTCAACATTTCTTTGCATTGCTGCACATTTTCCTGCTAGGATTTTATTATAAATGTATAATTCACATTCACGTTTGCATGAAGAACGAGTCGAAATGATAAGACAGCATGCAGCAGATGTCAAATAATGTACATACAGCTGAGATCAGTTTTCATAAAAACACAACCCTGCAGCTTATTGAAGGCAAAGAGTAGCACTGATTACATATAAAGATAAAAACATTGCGGTGTACAACTGGCAATATTCATAGTGAAACTATTTTTCCAACCACTAAAACGTGAAAAATAGGTCACGTTAGTTTGGCTCTTAAAACTGAGGGAAAATGAAGCGACTCGTTATAGTTGCTGCTCGAGTGGAAAATTTAATTGAGAATCTGAATAAGACTGTAATTCCCTGGTTTTTATTTCTTTAAGAGTTTTGTTTAGAGGACAAATTAACATGAAAAAGGAAAAGCTCTCTCTCATTTATCTTACAGTAGATAGGGAAGCTGAAAAACAAAGTGCTTGACCTGTGCTCTATTTTAAGAAGAAAACAAAACCTAACTGGCATCAATAAGAGACTGAATCAAAGTGCCCAGAACGGCTAGAGATCTCGTTTCCTGCAGTTCATCTGAATGATAGCGCTGTAAAGCTGTAAAACGGTCCCTGTAAATCTGATATTAATAAACAGCATTATCATCTGGTTAAACACTGATGTCAGATCTGCTGGTCTCTCTTCTGAATTAATAAAACTACATACACGTATAAAAAATACTAAAAATTACAAAAACAACAAAATTACTGAAACTTTAACATTAAAACAAAAACAAAATATAAAAATAACAACTATAATAGTATCATTAACACTGAAATAGCGTACAGGAGCAGAGAGAGTCCAAGTTTTTGGGGAAAAAAGTGACTATTAAAAAACAAACTATAGAAAACACACAGGAGTGTGTGTGAGTGAGTGTGTGTGTTTTAATAAATGTATTAAAATACATAAAAATATATAATCTTTGTGTATTCAATTTATTAAAATATAAAAATATAGAATGTTTTATGTAAATTATACGTTGTTTTTGTAATTTATCAAATTATAAATGATACTTTTCCATATACTTTTTTTTTTGGTTTAAATGCTGCTGTGGTGTAGAAAAAAACTATTAGAATAAAAAAAAAAAAAGTGTCTCACAGTAGGATGGCAGCTTTGCCAAGTCGCATCATATTTTCCCTTTGCAGTTTAAATAAACCATGCATGTCATATATTTCAAACAGGGCATCTTTCTTTATTAATATTTATTATGAATGTCTTAAATAACAAACTTTAACAACATAAGGGCAGATCCCTTTAGTGCAGCTGATGACGCTTTGAAAGGGAGTGAGCGAGGATATATCATTTCACTCGATTCAGTTCCTCCATCCTCGAGTCTTTTCCTTGCGTCCTTCCCTCGCATCCTGAAGGGGTGGAGCTAAGATGCCAGGAAAGGAAGCGAGGATGCACAAATAAGAATTGAGAAGCACCCATGATTTCATTCAATCTTTCTCCAACAGTCTCCCAGCAACCGGGCATGCAAGGCTACGGTGACCCCTGCGGCGCCATGACGACGACCCTGACCCCTGCCTACCCGGGTCAGCCGGCTCCAGCACACATGCTGAGCTCGTATCCTCCACCGCCCTCCTACTGCAGCCACCCGCCGCCCTCCTACGAGCAGGTCTTCAAGAACGCCGAGAAGAAGAGCCACAGCCAATCCTCACAATGAGACACCACCGTCTCCAGGAACTCTCCTTTTTATTTGCTTGTTTTCAGGACGCCTCTTTCTTGCCTGCTCCCAGTCTGTTGTGTTATCGTTTGACAGACGAAGAGAACAAACGTCCTGATGGGATGCGGGATTTCAAACGGACTTCTCTACCTGACAGAGCTTTGAAGAAACTGTCATGAAGCACAGAAGATACTGAGAGTTTCCCCTTTCTTTAAAAAGCGGCTCGACGGGCTGAAGTGGACCTCGACAAGGTGGAAGCAACCCATTGACTTTCTGGAGAACAGGATGAGATGCTGTGGAAAACACGTGACATCCATCCAGTCGCTTGTCCATCAGAATCCTAACAGACAGCGATTCTGATCTCAGATCATGCGTTTTATCGTATTGCAGCCAGTGAATATCACGATATATTGATGAACACCACTGAATCAAAATGAAAAAGGTAATTGTGACTTTTATCTCGCAATTCTGACTTTTTTCTGACTTCAACAAACTCGCAATTGTAAGAAAACAATATTTCAATTGTCTTTTTTTTCTCAGAACTGAACTTTTTAACGTGAAAGTTTATCGAACGATTCTTAGAAGAAAATTCTGAATTGCGAGAAAGAAATAATGTTAGAAAAGCTCATCGTGACTTCATCTCGCCAAACTTTTTCTCACAATTGACAGTTTGCATCTAAGAAAAAAGTCAGAATTGTGAGATGTAAACTCAACAATTGCGAGACAAAAGTCAATTGTCAGAAAAGTCAGAATTGTGAGGTTATATAAAAGTTATAAGGAAACTCGCAATTGTAAGAAAATACTTTTTTCTCAGAATTGGACTTTATAACTCACAATTGCAAGTTTATATCAGAATTGCGAGAAAGAAATAATAAAAAGGTAATCGTGACTTAAATCTCATAGTTCTACATTTTTCTCGCAATCGTGAGTTTACATCTTGTATTTCTGACTTCACAATTGCAAGTTTATATGCCTCAATTCTGTCTTAACTTAGTTTATACCACAAAATTCAAAGAAAAAGTCTTAATCGCGAGTCAGAACTGTGAGATAAAAAAGTTGCAATTACATTTTTATTCAGTGGTGGAAACGGCTTCCATACAAACAGGAAATTGTGCTTTTGTTCCAATCCCAGTGTTTGAATGGGTCAGGAAACTCTTCTATGGGTATTCATTTGAAATAGATGATGATCTCTCATGGAGTGAGTCTATTGAAGCCATGTTCACCGTTCACAGCCAGCGATAGGGAGATTTATTCACATCTTTTCCGCTTCATTACACCCATAGAGCCCTGTTTTTGTGGATGGGTCGGAAAACTGCAAAAGCTCGTTTTGGGTTAAATGTCTCGTTTCGTTGGAGTTCACTCCCAATAACGGCCCTCTGTGCAAATGAATTATTGGACTACAATTACCATTGAAATATGTGCAGATGAACAAGAAGGATTCACCCCTGATGAGTAATACAGTGTTATTTGGAGGGAGTGATTCTAATTAGTTTCAGGCCTCTTCATTAGCATGGAAAAGGATTAAATGTGAAGCAAACAGTTGCATTTGCAATGCCATCACTGGTTAAACTTTTTGCTTGCTAAATCATTGTTTTACACTAAGAATGCAACAAATTATCGTCACATTTAAACCATGAATTAAATTAAATTAAAAATAAGAAATTATAATTTGCATCAAATCGAGCATATTTTTAGGACCATTAATGAACCTTTTTTTTTGGATGACAATTCAGCACATTAATTAAGCACTGTAAGAATAATTTGGGCAGGATTCACCCCTGATGAGTAATACAGTGTTATTTGGAGGGAGTGATTCTAATTAGTTTCAGGCCTCTTCATTAGCATGGAAAAGGATTAAATGTGAAGCAAACAGCTGCATTTGCAATGCCATCACTGGTTAAACTTTTTGCTTGCTAAATCATTGTTTTACACTAAGAATGCAGCAAATTATCGTCACATTTAAACCATGAATTAAATTAAATTAAAAATAAGAAATTATAATTTGCATGAAATCGAGCATATTTTTAGGACCATTAATGAACCTTTTTTTTTGGATGACAATTCAGCACATTAATTAAGCACTGTAAGAATAATTTGGGCAAATGTGCTTAATTAGCATTTAAAATAAAAAATAAAAAAATATGTTTTTGAGGTGAAATATGACCTAGACATGTTCTTCATAACATTCATCAACATATAATTTTTTTTTTTAGGGATGCACGATATATCGGCCACCATATCGGTATCGGCCGATAAATGTAAATTTTTCTGTTATCGTTATTGAACCGATAAGAGAATTTGGCCGATATCTTAGAGCCGATAAATAATGCATTATTTCCTTCAGAGACGCTTCAGATGCGCACTGTTCCCCATGGTCTTTAATTGCTTGAAATATTATTGGAATCACTTTGAAAATTAAAATACAGTGAACTGCAACATGTGCAGGGCAAGTCTGTCATATTATAATGAGATCATTAGCTACTGTAAAATAATGTTTTGGAATCTTTGTTCGCCCGTGGTTTAGCGCGTTGTTAAGGGAAGAGCGCATCCACAATGGATCCACACCTTCATGACTAGCACAGTTAAGTTCGCTTGTGCATTTACAGTCTTTTGTGCAATTGTACGTTGTAATATTGTGTTTATTTTATGCATATAAATCTGATTTATCTCATATAGAATGCGTTTGGTTAAGCAAATAAGAGTGTTAATAGAGCGCTTCAGTTTCCCGGTGATCAGCTTTAGCTTTTAATGGTGATACTTTTTTGGTAATCAGGTTCTCAAAAATGATATAAAAATTTGGATTTAGATTTATCAGCCAACATATCGGTTATCAGCTTTCATATTTAAAGAATTATCGGTTATCGGCCAAAATTTTCATATCGGTGCATCCCTACATTTTTTTAAAACAATGGTTAAGTCTATCAAATTAGACTGATTTGGAGAACATTTCTAGAAACCTAGAAAGGACATTTCAATGTGGTCCTGATGTATTTATTTAAGCGTGCTTAATATTAATTCAACATGTGATTTGTTTGGTGCAGATTGTGGAAAAAAAACTGACTTTAAAGTTACGTATTTTGCATATTTGAGTCTTGATATACTGAATGCTGGCTGGTTTCTATTCTTGATGTCGTGACTGAACAGAATGTAGCTTTGGGATCAGGACTGAACGCTCCACAGACTGGGTATTAATGTACATTAATTACATAATTTACACATTTATCCCAGCAGTCCCCATTATAAACTTATTATTAACTTGAACATTAGCCAGCATCAATAGGTTTGGGTATATTTCAAGTACATAAAAAAAAAGTGTTGTTTTTGTTGTAGTGCTTACATTGTTCATGGTTTCTTTTTCATCTGCTTGAAGTTGATCTATGCAAAGACAGACTGAGTCCATTTGCTGATGTTAGAGTTTGTTTAACTTAAGATCAGATGGTGTTTTGTTTTATTTTCATGAACTCGTGGTTGCAGAGATGTTCAAATTACAGCGTCACTGACACACCAGCAACCAGTGAACCGCTCTCGATGTCAGAAAACCATCCACTCCAATAATAAAGTTCCCTCTGTTTGAGACTTTTGCTACACCTCCCACAGGTGTTCACCACATTGCTCGTCTCTTTTCTCTGTGTTTGTTGTTTGTTCAGGTATTGGACAGCTCTCTCTCTGTAAGTGTTTACTTGCACAGTCCCGGCATTTTACTGGAACAAGCCTCCAGAATTAGCATTACATCAAATGCATTCAACTGTTTAGGTTAATTAAGACAGCTTTTCTGGGTTGCTAAAATCCAAACTCAAGTCTTGGATAACCAGGTTCTCCAGCAGATGATTCATCTAGGGATCTTTTTTTAGAAAGTACACGTCGCACACAATCATTTAGTGTTGAAATGTAATCACAATATGTTAATATATTCAAAAAGGGAAATTATTTGATGATAAAATGGGAGAAAACGACCACAACTGACAAACTATATTGTCCTGCAGTGGCAAATTTCAACTTACTTCACCACGTTTGTGAGGGTTTTTTATTATAGCGCCCCCTAGCACTGAAAAATTGCAACCAAAAGAGCTCTGCAATTGAGAGTTCACATCCAAGAAGCATTGCAAATTCAATTTGTTACAAAGATTATTGTAGTACATTTTACAAGAATGACATTTCATTTTTTTTCTACTTCAGAATTTCACATTTAATTCAATGTGTTACTTGCAGTTTCTTTGTAGTTGTTTGTGAAGTTAACTAGCGATTTCTGAGTGAATTTGTTTGTAGACCTATTTATTTATTTACTGCATACAAACAGGGTTGGGCAAAATTCAGAAGTGAAGAATTGGCTCCCTTTCATTTCAATTCAATTGAGTTGGAATTTGAATTTAATTGGCTAAAATAAATAAATAAACACAATTAGAATATACATTACCGTTCAAAAGTTTGGGGTTAGTAAGATTTTTTCTTGAAGTCTCTACTGCTCATCAAGGCTGCATTTATTTGATCAAAAATACAGTAAAAACTGTAATATTGTGCAATACAATAATATTAAAATAACTACATTGTAATACAGTGTAAAATGTAATTTATTCCTGTGATGACTGCCATTATTATCAACGTTGAAAACAGTTGTGCTGCTTCATATTTTTGTGAAACGGTGATACATTGTTTTACAAGATAGAATTAAAAAAATAATAGTAATAAATAAATAAACTTACTGACCCCAAACTTTTGAATGGTAATCATTCTGTCGACTCAACCAAGGTCTCCGGCTCAAATTTTTGATTTTGATATGTATTTCTTTCACCAGAAAAAAAAAAAAATTAAGCGAAGAAGAAAGCCAAAACATTAAATGTCATGGATGAATATTTACTGAGTGATGCACTCTTTTGTAGAGGGGGGTCAAAATGTCAATTTTCACCTGAGATTCAGAGCCAAATTACAGGGGTGTAAAAATGACTAGAATCTCAATACGGCTCCGGAAGTAAATTGTTAAATTGTACACATTTTCAGTGGTCTAAAACCAAATGTGGGTCACTTTGCATAAAGATGATGATTCTTTTCTTTTAAAGAGGAATGACTGAAGAACAAATAATGTTGAAACTAGTATTGTAGGTTGTTGCCCTCTATCAAAATAACTGTAGAACACACCTGTCTGAGTGTTAAATGCACTGAAACATTCATTACCTTGGTCTCAGTAGTCCATTCACAAGATTCTATATTTGTATATATCAGCTTCAGGAATATTTGAAAGAAAGGGTTTTGTTTATTTTAACAGCTTCTGAAGCTACCAATAGTTCAGATATGAAGATTTTATTTTTATTTTTTTTATTGTTATAACATGTGAAGCATAATCATAGATCAAGTAGTATCTACTGCTAAGGGGCATATTTGGCAGAATCACTGATAGTACCTCA